GTCAGTGTTTTCCACTTAATCATGTTGTAGACAGCATATTAATGTCACAGTCACAAATGTCGTTTGATCAGCAGCAACAGCAACAGCAGCAGTCCTCAATGTTCCTCAATTTGGCTTCGCAACAGGTGATTATGTTTTTTGATTGAAATTTACGACGTATGAGAGTTGAGAAAACATGAAAGAGATGTCGCTGGTTGAACAAATAATTTCTTCCTCTGATCTAACTTTTGACACAGAGCTCAAATTCAGATAAATTTTTTGATTCAGAAGCTTAAATTTAGAATTTTGAAAAGAAATTTCATGCTTCTGTATGAGTTCAAAAAATTAGTTTCGCTGCTTATTTCTGGATAATTATGTCCCTGTTGTTTAGTTCCTGAACACGGCTTTTCAAAAAAACTTCCGTACACAAGAATTAAATCAGATAGAAATTTGTATTTTTTGAAAGGAAGGCTCTCGGTCTTATAGGAGTCCGGAAATTTGAAATCACAAAAGTGAATAGAAAGATGCAAGTTTTATAATTACTGAAGTAGTGTAAAAATTAGCTGTATGGCAGTACAACCGGTGGATGTCATGTATATGTGGTGCCGCCGAGAAAAAAAGCGGTCCGGATAATTTCTGGCTGTTCTCTGACTGCTTACTTTTCGCATTAGAACTTTTAGCTACTTCCTTAAATTCCTTAAATTGCAAGTACATAACTTTATTTCTTGATTTCGCATGCGTGAGGGCATAATGAGGTTTTTTACTTATAAATGATCGAGTGTGTCTGTGTTTGTTTGTTGTTAACTAATTGTTGTGATACTTGTCGAGCTTGCCAGCAGTCTTTAGATAGCAACAGAAATTTCAGGTCATGAAAAGTTACTGATGGCATAATTGTCAAAGTTGGAGAGATAAAACTCCCTCTGAATTCACCCTGTTTGAGATGAAAAAGCATTTTGGAAGTAGCCTGAGTCAATAATAATGACCAAGCGCTGGCAAGGCTCTTTGTGATTCCTTCTTTTGAGAGTTGCTTATAGGCAGTTTGTTGCGTTCCCTGGGCTTGAACTCCTCAGTCGACTGGCCGGGTACTATGGCCCGTCAAGTCGGCTCGTCGACAATTACGGGGGGTAGGCACGAAGTTCTTCGTACGTCCTGGTTAGCGCACTTCACGGGTTCACACGGGTCGGTCGACTGCACTGAACGGGAGTAACACTACTCCTTCAGACAGACACTGCGCTGAATGCAATA